TATCTCCCGAGCAATCCCACTGATTTTACTGGAAGTGGCTGGGATGCAGTGCAGAATCCAGCTTTAAAGCTGTAATGAATATTTCTCTTTCTGCAGTGGGTCCAAAGAAGTTTGCTGCTGTTGTAATTCAGTGAGGATACAAGAGCACAAGGAATGAGGAAGGGCTGAAGAGAATATTTAGTAGAAAATATTCAGTCTTCAATGCAGAGTCATGGGCAGTTATTTTTCTCTAGCAACCTGTCAGAAAGGAATACATATTTACATCCCTCCCATTTTCCCACACTGTGTAAAGCCAGTAGAAAAATGAGGCACCTTCTTGCGGTACCATACACATAACAGATGGCTTGTGAACCTGTCCACAAGTCTGTTAGGACTTGCATACTTACTGTAACGGATATTTCTTTGTTTGGGCTGTCCCCCAAAGCGGACGCCAGTGGGGATGCTGCTCCCTGCCAAGAGAAGCCATGGCGGAAGGCTTAAAAGTCAACCTGCGGGAGACCACGAGAGGCTCAATAGTTAGCCTCTGGAGGCTAACTTGTGGCCCACGGAGCTGCAGGTCCCGGGACCTCACCCTCCCAACTAGTGGGTCATAGGCAGTCCCCCAAGCTCGGAACGCTGCTATGAGCACAGGAGCAGGAGCACTCTTCCACAGGATCAGCGGCACTCTACGCCTTTGCTTTGGATTTGGAGATTTTTCCCAAATTCTGAACTAGGGGGGTCCAGTTTCACCTCCCCTGGACTCCAAGCCACCAGTCGGGCACTCCGCAGCTAGGCAAGCGCACCCAGAGAGACAACTTCCTAAGCAAGCGTAGCATTTTCTGAACCCTGTTGAGACGCTGTTAGCTGGGTAGTTATCCAAAGCGAGAGCGCCAGAGCACGCCCAAGACTTTTTGGGTGTAGAGGTTGGGTAAATGTTATATGGCTGAGTGGTTAAGGTATCGGACTCCAATTCTAATGGGCATGATGGGGTCCTCCACGACTGATGGTGGTTTCACTTGATGGTGGGTTTTTGGTCTGGTGGGCAGAGCGAGTAAGTTAGACTCCAGACGCCGACTATCAAGCCTATTGGCCTGGTTCCATAGCTCAGGGGTTAGAGCATTGGTCTTGTAAACCAGGGGTCGTGAGTTCAACTCTCACTGGGGCCTGGGTAGCAGTTTTTGGCTGGGCCTGATGTCCCCCGGTGGTGAGGTGTGTGACCTTGTACTCCATATGTTTATGGAAATATGCTTATGAGTGTGAATATAATGTAACTGAAATATGCCTTATGCAAAAGGTCTCTTCTAAGGTATCATTGCAAAGCTTATAATCTACTGAGTGTGTTCATCTTATTTGTATGAATCTATCATTCTTGTATCTGAAGCCAGAAATATGAAGTATTACTCTGAAGTCCTAGTGTAGTTAAGCAAAGCATTAATGGTGGTTTAGAATCTTGATGGCTCCCATTGACCAGGACAATTGGTTGTAAATGGCTCTCTTTACTTGTAAGCCTTCCTGTATACGTGGGTGCCAGCCAATGAGTAATGAAGTCTCACAGGACATGTGAACATGTCACATGATACCGGAAGCCATCTTAAACCCGGTGCCCTTCCATTTAGAAGGAAGGGTGGAAACCCAGAGAGAGACAAAGGATTCCCGCCATGTGCCAAAGATATAAAAGGGGGTGGAACAGAACAAAGGGGGCGGCAGTCATGAGAAAACCCCTTGTGACCGCCTGAGCTGGAACTAACAAGAACTGTACCAGGGGAAAGGATTGGGCCCAGACTAAGAAGGAGTCTTGTCTGTGAAAGAAGCTTATTGGACCATCTCTGAGGGTGAGATTTACCTGGATTCAGTTTCTTAAACGTATTAGGCTGAGACTTGCGTGTTTTGCTCTATTTTGCTTGGTAACTTACTTTGTTCTGTCTGTTATTACTTGAAACCACTTAAATCCTACTTTTTATACTTAATAAAATCACTTTTCTTTATTATTAAACCCAGAGTAAGTGATTAATACTTGGGGGAGCAAACAGCTGCGCATATCTCTCTATCACTATTATAGAGGGTGGACCATTTATGAGTTTACCCTGCATAAGCTTTAGACAGAGTAAAACAGATTTATTTGGGGTTTGGATCCCACTGGGAGCTGGGTGTCTGGGTGCTGGAGATAGGTAAAGCGGCTGAGCAGTTTTGGTTAAAGTCTGCAGCTTTGGGGGCATGGGTCAGACCCTGGGTCTGTGTTGCAGCGGAGTAGCGTGTCTGGCTCAACAAGACAGGGTTCTGGGGTCCCAAGCTGGCAGGGGAAACGGGCTCAGAGGTAGTTTCAGCACATGGGGTGACAGTCCCCAGGGGGTCTCTGTGACCGAACCCATGGCAAGGCGCTTGGCTTTTCTTAGGTACTTGTTAATTTGGGGGAGGGGCTCAGGACTGGCGGGACGCCAGAGGGCTTTGTTAAAGAGAAGCAGCAGCCTGAATTTGTGTACCAGTTGGTCAAAGGGTAGCAGCAACAGGGGCCTACCAGAAGTGGGAGTCGAACCCACACAGGCTCACGCCCATTGGAACTTGAGTCCAACGCCTTAATCACTCGGCCATTCTGGTGAGCGGGTAACTCTGGCCCGACCGCTACACCCAAAAAGTCTTGGGCGTGCTCCGGCGCTCTCGCTTTGGATAACTACCCAGCTAACAGCGTCTCAACAGGGTTCAGAAAATGCTACGCTTGCTTAGGAAGTTGTCTCTCTGGGTGCGCTTGCCTAGCTGCGGAGTGCCCGGCCGGCGGCTTGGAGTCCAGGGGAGGTGAAACTGGACCCCCCTCGGTCAGAATTTGGGAAAAATCTCCAAATCCAAAGCAAAGGCATAGAGTGCCGCTGGTCCTGTGGAAGAGTGCTCCTGCTCCTGTGCTCATAGCAGCGTTCCGGGCTTGGGGGACTGCCTATGACCCACTAGTTGGGAGGGTGGGGTCCCGGGACCTGCAGCTCCGAGGGCCGCAAGTTAGCCTCCAGAGGCCGACTATCGAGCCTCTCGGGGTCTCCCGCAGCTCGACTATTAAGCCTTCCGCCATGGCTTCTCTTGGCAGGGAGCAGTATCCCCACTGGTGTCTGCTTTGGGGGACAGCCCGGCTGGAAAGCATTGGGGCCACCAGGTCAACCCATTGGATGTAATGGGCCCGGTTCTCCCAACCTCAACCCTGCGCTGAGCCTACCTTGGGCATCCCGCTGAAGGGCCGCCCGGAGCACAGCTCTTGGGGAAAGGGAGAGAGTCTTGGGTCAAGGGCCCACTTTCCATAGGTGGCAGTGAGGCTGCTGCTCTGCTACGCAGAAAACCCTGAGCCAGGTCTTCTACGAAGGCTTTAGAGAAGCTCACGCCCACTGGAAGTCCCGTCCTCCCCAGCCCAGCCAGGACTAGCAGCTGAGCCCAGCGCAGGGTAGGATCCACCAGCCGGGTCTTCCCAAGTCCCGCCCCCTCCCCTTTCTGGCGAGCGCCCAAAGGCTGGCCCAGCAAAACATGGGCTTCTTGGGATATCGTCAATGCGACTGCTGGCTTGAGCGCGTGACCGTTGCAGGTGCAGCATCACTTAGGTAGGCATGGTCGGGGAGGGGAGACGGGAGACCAAGAGAAGCTCGATAGTCGGCCTGTGGAGGGTCCTACCCTGCGCTGGGCTCAGCTGCTAGTCCTGGTTGGGCTCTTCCCCTGCAGAGCCTCCTGGGCCGAGTTACAGCCACCCCTATATTTCTCTCCCAGCTGCAGGAAGCTCTGCAAACACCCACCACCACTACCACATCCCTCCCCCACTTCCTGCACCCGTGTCCGGGAGCTAGGGGGAGCTGCACAGTCATCTCCTACCTCTGTATAGCTAGTGGCCTGTTCTCCCAAATGCCATGCTGGAACCTCCACATTTATTTGATAAATAAAATTTGCAGAATTTTAAAATATTGTGTGCAGAATTTTTAATTTTTTGGTGCAGAATGCCCTCAGGGGTATGATTTACCTCGGCCGCCTACCTCATGAGCCCCGCCTTCCAAGTCCACTGGCATGGAACAACGCCCGTGCTGCACCGCAACACACAGGGCTGGGCTGGGTGCGCAGAGCCCTTCGTATCGGGAGCAGAGAGTGGCCGGTATGGAGCCGCCACTCAAGCAGAGCACACGTCATGTTCGCTGGGAATCTGTCTCTAAAGACTTTGTATAAGACCTGGCTCAGGGTTTTGTGCGTAGCAGAACAGCAGCCTCGTTGCCACCTATGGAAAGTGGGCCCTTGACCCAAGACTCTCTCCCTTTTCCCAACAGCTCTGCTCCGGGTGGCCCTTCAGTGGAATGATCAATATGTCCTCAGCGCAGGTGTGATGAATGAAGTGCGGGGGAGCTCCTTTTGATGGACACCCAGCCAGCCAGTTAGCTGTAAAATCCCTCTTGGTAGCTGTTCTCTGCTTGCTTTATCTGTCCGTCCTGGGGTGGCTGAAAACATTGGCGCGAAACTGGTGCACAGCTTCTGGATTTGCTGTCGCTGCTTACACCCAAGGGTCATGGAGAGGCTCACCTCTTCCACACCACCATTGCTTTTCCCATCATAATAGACTCTTTCAGGCCACTCAGCTTTGTCTCTCTCCTGGGCTGTAAACTGGAGAACCTTGATGTCTCGGGAATAAAAGGGCTTTAGAGAATTAACATGGTATACTTTAGGAATACTGAAAGCAAATGAAAAATTGCCCAGTCACTATGACAAATCTCCTGAGTTTGGGAGTCTGACTCCTGATGGTTGAACACTAAGGGTTAGCAATGCAGAGGTTCTCCGTGATTACAGGGCTGCAACAGGGGCTATAGCGGTCACGTCTACACTAGGGGCGCTCGGGGTTAAGGCTCCCAGTCATGCTGCAGCCCACAGGTCAGCGGCCCCAGCAGCGCGACCAACCCAAGGGCAGACAGAGCCACGTTCCCTTCGCTAATGCGCATGCTCAGAAACTACAAGGTCTCGGAAGGAACTTGTTCCGGAGGCGGCGCAACCGGCCTCTCTCTGGGAGGGGAGGAGGACTCGCGACGGCCTGCGGTGGGGGGTTGCTTTACCGCTTTATGTCGTAACGGCCTCTGACCCAGCCGTAAAGCCCCACTCCCAGCGATGTCGTTGGATCTGGGGAGATTTAAAGTGAAAGGCGCCAGAATCCGCTGCTGGCTGCCTGGCCGCCTCCTGTAGCGCGGCGGAGCCGCCGGCAACATGGCGAGGGCTGGCGCCGTGCTTGGGGAGCTCAGCCTCATGGACAAAGGCATTGGGAGGTGAGGGAGCCGCGGGGGGTTGTGGGCTTTCCCCCGCTGGCCGGGCGGAGGGGCTCCCAGGGACCTAGCCGGCGGGAGTCCGAGGAGTGGTCGCTAGTGAGGTGCGGAGTGCGGGCGGGGGCGGGGTCTTAGGAGGCGAGGGAGCGATGATGTCGATATTTCGATAACGGTGGGCCTCGGAAACAGGAGCGGGGAGACGTGCTGCTGCTGGATACTGTCAGCTTTGGCGTCCCCCCAGGAGCGGGGCATGCGTGAGAAGGGCGTACCGGGCCCCGGTATTACCAGTGCACTTTCAGAGCTCACCTACACGCCTGTTCCTCTCCGGGCAGACTCGCAGGAAGGGGCAGAGCTGTGACGAGCCCTATTGGATTTGCCTTTTGTGTTCTTCGTGCATCCATTTCACATCCCCTTGCCATTTATTGCGGCTACATGTGGTCTGTCATTTATAGCGTTTATGTGATCCATTTTCCTGGACTGTATTTTAAAGAGTTTTCCATTGTACTAATTGTATGACCTACACTGCCTGAGTTTCTGGATTAGAAATGCTGCACTTTCTGTTTAACACTTTAGCTCCAGTTAATATGTGCTCACGCTTAGATACTGTTGTCAACGTTACTTGAGCTACTCCATAATCTTTTATAGTGGGGTGTTAACGTAAATCCGCTTCTAAAAGTAAGCAGAGTAGCAAATCTTAAATCACTTTGCCTACAAAGATTGGTATCAAGTGCATATTAAATATTAAAGTGCCTAAACAATAGCACATTTCTTTGCTTCACAGACTTGATGGTCTTTTAAAAACTTTCAGAAATAGAACCTCAGTATAAAAAGACCTAAATCCTTCTACTTGAGCCTGGGCAATAACCTAGCTGTAGTCAAACACTTTTGAACAGAGACAGAAATTTGCTCATTGAGGACAAAAACCAAGACGGCAAGTTCTTTAGTACCCTAACTGAACTCTACAGTTTTTCCTAATTGTCCACCACATTTAAGATGAGAGTATTGTAATTAATGTAGGTGGCTAGAACAGAATTTTTGTTTTAAGCATGTTTTTTATGAGAGACAGTGTGAGCAGTATGCTTGGTCTACATGAAAAAATTAGGTTGATTTAACTACAAGAGTTGGTTGTGAAAAATTCACACCCTATAGCAGAGTAGTTAAGTTGATCTGAGGCTACGTCTACACTAGAAACTTCAAACCGCTGCTCCCGCAGCAGCACTTCGAAGTGCAAGCGAGCGCTGGGAGAGAGGTCTCCTAGTGCTCCTGGTAATCCACCTCCACAAGGGGAATAACACCCCCCTGAGCGCAGCAAGTTTAAGTGCTGTAAAGTGGCAATGTAGATAGTGCACCAGCGCTGGGAGCTGCGCTCCTTGTGCAGGTGTTTGTTTTTGCTTTTGTTTAGAGAGAGAGCTCTCCCAGCACTGCGCCACAACCACACAAGCCATGTTAAAGCACTGCCGCAGCAGCACTTTAGCGTTGTCAGCGTAGACTAGCCCTCAGATACAGAAAAGGTCTACTAACTTTTAGCTTTTTGTGGGAAGGAGGGCTAAAGATACTGGTAAGTATAGTGGATTATTTTCAAGTTTAAATATTGAGAACCTTAAATATAAGGCAGATTATTTTGATTTGCTATAGTACACTATTCTACTTGAATAAAATATTATTTTTTTAAATAATGATGTGTAAAATTTGTGATTTGCACCCCTTAAAATGTTGGTTAATTTGAGATTTAGACATGTTTTATAAGTTAATTATCTTAAGACATCTTAATTAATACTGGGTATTTTCATTTATAGCTTGTTGGAGATAACTCTAAGTTCAGAACTTCACACAATCAACCTACATTGTAACCAAATCTCGAAGATTGAAGGGCTTGGCCATATCCAGAATTTGCAGCATTTAGACTTGTCATCTAATCAAATAAATCAAATCGAAGGACTAAGTACCCTAACTAATCTTCGCACTTTAAATTTATCCTGTAATTTGATAACAAAAGTAGAGGGTTAGTATATTTTTTGTTTTCTTTCCCTTTAACATTTTATGAGCCTGTTCTGAAATAATTGTGTTGAGGTTTGATTCAAAAAAGATCTTAAGCCTGTGATTGAAGTTAAGCATGTGCTTAAACCCCATTGAAGTCAAAATCCCATATTACATATTGGGTTAAATTGAAGAAATAATAAACAAATCATTCTAAAGGACATCATGGCAATATTTCCGAGTTGACTATTTAAAGTAGGTTAAAAAGTTTATTTTAAAACGTTGATCTTCATTCTTTTTAAATAATACCAACCACAGTGTATCATAATAAACATAGTTTATATTTGTCATTTATAGTGTCTAGTCTGTCTTCCTTATTTTACCAGTCAGGCATGTTTATCTCCTGAGTATTTCTTTTTAAAGCTCTTGCACTAACTTTTTTCCCCCACTTTGTTTAGGACTGGAAAAGCTACATAATTTAACTAAACTGAATTTGTCATACAACCGCATACATGATCTTACTGGTAAGTGGATCTGGCAGTGATGTTTTCACAATTAATATAAAATATCTGACCAAATGTAGTTGCAAAGAACTAAAGGATAAGAAATGTAGGACATTGGATGTCTCAGGAATTTACTACCATTGGAATATGAAGCTTTTAATCTTTAGATCATAGGTTCAAATCCTGACCAGGTCACTACTGGCTGAAATTAATTACCATTTAACAGTTAGGTGGCTAATGTGAAATGTATTAATAATTTTAAAAGAGAGGTGCACAGTCACTTGAACCACCATTTGCAATAGACCTATGTTCTTCTTGTTGGTAGTATCATCAGAGAGACCAAAGATTGTAGACATGTTTAAATACTTTTGCTGAAGCAGAGTGGGAATCTTGAGTTGCTTGGTGCTGTAACTGTGCTGTCAATCTTTCATGTACAATGAGCACTATATTCACTTTTAGAAAAACAAATACAAAATGTTTTAAACAAGGGAGAGTTCAGAAATAGTACAGCAGGAAGGAGGCCTGGGTTTTATTTTCATTTCTGCCACTGTCTTGCTGTGGTAACTTCATGTGTAAAATGCAAATTCTTCCCAACTTGATAAAGCACCCAGATACAGAATATCTTGAAGTATCACAATTCAGAGTATTATTACCAGGAGAGTACTATCGTAATAGTTCTATTACGTAAAACCTTTCATCTGAGGTTCCCAAATAACTTTTTTAATCACTTGCCCTCACAATACCCTTGTGAGGTAGGCGGCCGACATTTTGCGTAGTTTAGGTACTTTTTGAACACAGAAGAGAACAGCCTCTCTGAAAATGAATCTTTAGGCTAGCTTCCTGGAGTAGACATCATATCTTATTTTTGGTCACAACACGTAGGCAGCAAATTCAAAGTATATGCTGTTAACAGTAATATACAATGATAATGAGTCATATCAAGCTGTCTTGGCATAATAGAGAAAATGTTCCCAGTGGTGCTTGCAATATTTATCATCTACAAAACATATAAGCCTGACATCAACACACAAATGTATTTACACATGATATGTGTGTTGCCACTATTGTTGTGAGAGCACCATCATGAAATCTTTGCACTTAATTTTGTCTGCAGTGATGCACTCTTTGCTGGTGCAATGCCATTGTGTATGGAAATTACAGACATAGCAGCCCTGTCAGTTGAACTGACCTTCCCATCACAGTGCCATAGTGATTTTCGATAAAACCGCTGGGGGGGGGGGGGGGGGGGGGGGGGGGAGAGCCGGGGGGGGGGGGGGGGGGGGGGGGGGGGGGG